CATCCTTGGTGAGGAACAGTGGCTGAGTGGGAGTTTCTCAACATTGTGTTGAGTGAGAAAGTTTTGTGTGTTTTGTATCTATTCCAAATTTCAAGCACCCCTGAGCACTTATGCATTCTCATGACGTAGGATTTTATTTTAAAATAATTTGACTATATTTTAGTTGGTAGGTGTATGTATGTGTCTTCACGCTCTTTTCTCTTATTTCAGGTTAACTTGTCAACATGGAGTCTTGATTTTCGAATCAGAAAAATACATCTCTTTCTGAATGTTTTCCGTAGATGCCACAAATCTCGAAATGTCATATCTTACCCCATTCTGAGAAGGACTAAGGCTGTGAGAATAGGAAAGAGCAGAAAATAATACTGAAAATTGCAACCGCATAACATTTCCTCTGCCTGTGTCATGGATGAATGACATAGAAGAGGCTATAGATTCTGGCAGGAGCTGCAGGGGACCTTTGAAAACTAAAGATAGAATCAATGTGGGGGCATTGGAAACAAATATGCAATGTTCAGAAAACTCACAGTGGGCTCAGAAAAGGAGCGGCAGAGGGCGGACACAAATTGAGGGGAGATAGGAAAACAATGCCTATGGAAAGCCAAGTTCAATAGGAATTGTTAGTACCTAGGGGCTGGCAGCTATCAGGATCCAGCCCAAGGGGGAAAGAAGATGTCCTTCCATTGTAAGTCTTGCAGGAGTGGTTGTAGAGGGAATATTGATTCCAAAATCGTCCTGGCCTAAAGCCTGGAGCCAAGCAAGAACAATACAAATAATTAACAGAGTGGTGGAATTAACTTACAGGGAATTATTTCTACTTTTCTTCACCTGGTGAGATCAAGTGTAGTATTAATTTCACATCAGATAGGTTTTCTATCAGGGAACTGTATCCTGTTCTGGCAAAAGATGCTCTAGTAGATTTTTTCCATTCCCAACTTGGAAGATGTAACAAATTATGCATAGCTTGGGAAGGTAATGCACTGGGTCTGCTGCATGAGGGGTATTTTTGAAAGTATCTGAAGTGAATAAACTTCCAGGAAGGAAAAGAAATACAAAAAGTTGCATTCCAAAAGAAATTTAAAAAGCAAGAGCCAGTTTCCTTCCCATCTGCACAGAGTCTGTATTTACTTGGTGGTACTGGGGATGGAATCTTGAGCCTTGTGCAAGCTGGGCAAATGCTTTACACATTGAGCTACCTCTCAGCCTATGTACAGAATGTATATAGAGAAGGAAGCCCAATCTTATATTGACTCTAGGTCATTGATGTTAAGTGCATTCTGTGTTTATCTTTTCATAAAACATAGTCTATATTCCAAACAGATTTTGCATAGCAAATGCCATACCCAATTTTCAGGTGAAAACATAGAGTGATTGAATATGTATTTTATTTGTATTCAAACAGAAAAAAATCAGTGAAAAGGGCAAAAATATGAACCAGTTCTCTGGCTAATGGAAGAAAAATGGAGATCTGTGGGTCTACATTTTCCTATCTAATCCAGGATATTTTTCTTATGGCTCTAATCTAACCTATAATGGGGGACTCAAATATCACTGCCCTTCAGTTATGTTAATGAAACATCGCCGATCACCTTGCTGAGTATGAATGCATGCTACAGTTGACAAAGCATTCCACTTCCTCTCTCTTATTGGTGCACATTAATGATTGGACATTGGGAATGTTTGCAGGCTGCTTTTGTTCCTGTCGATATTTAATGTCACAAAACTGCATTTAGGATCCGGATTGCTTGAGTGATGCATTAAAAAAGAAAAAGTGTCAAGTCAGTAAGATAATGGATCATTTTTCAATGTGGCTTTTCTTTGGCATCTCTTCTTAGAAGTATCCATTTTGCACTCCCTTTTCCAAAAGCCGATCTCAGAATATAAGTCTGCAATTTTAGAGCTGGTTAGAGCTAACTTTGGCCAAGTGAGATAGACTCCTCAGTGACCAGTTCGGTAGAGTGAAAAGGTCTAACTCTACAGTTTGAAAGCTTCAGCTTGGAATCCTGGCCTATACTATTTATGTGACCTTGAGAAAGCTATCGAACATTTTTGAGGTTCAGTTTCTTCATCGGTAAAACAAGGAAGATAACACTAACCTCAGAAAACTTGTGAGGATGACAATATTTGAATACTCCATCTCTACCTATTAAGCATTTAGATGTGTTTTCAATAATTTACTTGAAGGAAAGATTTTATTTTATTTTTTTGAGATGGGACCTCACAGTGTAGCCCAGGCTGGCTTTGAACATGCACTGATCCTCCTACTTTGGGCTCCTGAGTGCGGGGATTACAGGCGTATGCCACCATGCCTGGCAGAGGAAAAGATTTTATAGCTTTGAGGTTTGAAAAACAACTTTTGTATCCTAATATTCACACTAAAAATGGTGATAAAATGGTACAGAATACTTGTCACTTTTTCAAGAAGAGAGACTCCTTAGCAACTCCTACCATTTGGCCCTCTTTGCTCTATAAACTACCCATGACCCATAGAGAGGCTATATGAATTTGAAAAATTAATCTACAAGCAGAAAAAGGGAGCTGTTTTATAACATGTGTTTTGCCCTATTATAATGACCTTTGCATTGTTCCTTGACTGAAAACTACAACCTACAATAGAGCATATATACTTGATTAAATGGGTTAGTTTACCCTGAACTCAGCATTCTGAAGATTCCCCCCTGTAGATGCCTCATAAATGGGTTGAATGCAAGTCATCTAACTAAACTTTTATTGATTAACCTTCTCCCAACCAGTGCTATATTTACTTTCACCCTCTTCCATTAAAACTATGATGGAAACAGCCTATTGATCTAACAGAAACTATCTCCTCTGAGTCTTAAAGGTTTTGTTTTTTTGGTACTGGGAATAGAACTCATGACCTCACACTTGCTAGGCAAGCACTGTGTCACTGAGCTATATTCCCAGCATATAATATATTTTTAATGTATTTAGTACAGGGTCTACAGGGTCTCACTACACAGATCGGACTCATAGTGATCCTCCTATTTAAAGCCTCCCAAGAAAGCTTAATGCAATCTCAGTGCTCCTGGGGGGGGGGGGGCGGGGCTGGCACAGCACCCCAGGGATCGAACCCTGGCCACTGCACTTTGCCTAAGCAGGTGCTTTAGTCCATTGAGCTATCTGGCCGGCCCTCTTCTCTGAGTCTTATTCATTACATTTTGTCCTTATTTCGGGCCCTTATCCAATCTAAAAAGTGCTAATTATAAAAATATTTTACTTTGCTTTAGTTTGTTGTTTTTGTGTTTTGTTTCTGCTGGGGATCAAATTCAAGGTTTCATCTATGCTAAGTGGGTACTTCACCACCAAGATACATTCACAGCTAATTACATTATTTTAATGTCCTTCTAAGAAATAAAGCAAGCATGCCAATTAAAATTTTAAGGTACACCTGCATGCAGTGGTGTGAGCTAGTAGTCTCAGATACCTGAAAGATTGATACAGGAGAATCACTTGAGCCCAGGAGTTTGAGGCCAGCCTGGGCAATATTGTATGACTCAGCTTAAAACAATGTATAAGAGAAATAATGTATAATGTGTAAGATACCATTGGTTGTGAAACATCTTCTGACTAGTAGAAGAAGTGCATGTTGCAATTCATCAAGTAAAGACCGTATTTCTCACCATAAAAGACCTATTTTTCCCCTTGTCTTATCCTAATGATATATAGCTTTCAAAAATACATGGTGGTTTGATGGCTCTACCACACTCTTGTTATCTGCCACAAACATTTTGGATCCGTTTCCTTGCTGTAAGAGTCACATTATTCTAGTAGGGAGAGAAGTTTTAAAGGCCCTAGTTGGGAAAAGTCACTTGCTGTTCTTCATGGAAGCAGAACACAGATCTGCCATGCTGCCTGAACACTGACACTGGATACTTTCTGTGTCATGGTTTAATCGTTACCCTGGCAACAGAGCTTCTACCAGCTGATTCCAAATGTACCTTGTCTTACTTTCTAATAACTTTGTTTGCTGTAGTATCAAAATCATCCAATCTGCATCATAGAATAACAAAATGTTTTGTTCCTTTTGCTTAGACATCACTTACCTTTATAACATCAAAATAGAATTGTAACTTTTCAACCCCACATGTTCAGTTACTCATAAGACAGTACTTTATCTTCAGTGGAAAAAATTAATGAATAATGCACATTTTATGTGAATGAAAATGCTGGTTGAACATGTTTTTGGCTTTCATTAAGTATTTTTACCTTTTCCTATGAGACGAACAGGCAAAATTCAAATTTGTGCATTCTTTCCCTAAATTAAAATTATTATGTCAGCATATCCTAACATAATTGAGAGCATTTCATGTATATTAGAAAGTATTTTATGTTGATGGTGGGTGGAGATTACTATGTTGTTTAAATAAAGGACCAGAATTGATGAGTTTTAATACAAAGGGAACTTGACTTTCGAGCTCTCTCTCTCTTTATTCTTTCCTGGCCCACACAAGAGCATGTTGGGGGGCAGGGAGAAGAATGTCACTTGCACAGACCTAAGGCAATGCTGGAAGAGTGGCAGGATGTTATAGAAAGGAGGCAGCTTGGGGGTGTGAATCTTCCTCCTCCCCCATCATGGTAAATCTGAGGAACTTCAAGGAGCACAAAGGTGTGGGATGACTTCTGTGGATGCTCTTTCCTGCTTTCTGATTATTATGTGTTCTTTTCCCACTCCCAAGAGGAAAATAATGTATACCACAGGAGGTCATCAGCCAGAACAAGCTGTCTTTAAATTCTTCCACCCAATAAGGAATTGTAAAATCACCGCACAGACGTAAGGGTGAATACCAGAAATCTATAATAAATGGAAGTCACATTTTCCTTTGCATAATTTTTGTGCTGTCAATACAAGCAATTTTCCTGAAATAAAAGCTTTGAAGATGTACTTTTCAGACATTTTTCCTCACAATGATTGCTGTCTCAGAGTGTCATTGCAATTTCTTACTTTCCTTGAACTAAATTTATCCTATTTTCTCTCTTAGGCAAACATCAATATTCCAATGGGAGCCTTTCGGCCAGGAGCTGGGCAACCCCCTAGAAGAAAAGAATGTACTCCTGAAGCAGAGGAGGTGAGGACAACTTAGCTAGCAGAGCACAGTGAGGTCTGTCTTCTCCAAAATCCTCACTAAGCGCCAGTGGCAGTGAGGCAGACCTGTTCTCTAGGGTGAGGGAGGGGCAAATAGCTGTGTATTAAGAATTTGACATATAGTATGGGGTTATATGTAGTTGTCGTATTCAGTCATCCAAGAAATCTCTGTCTCTCCTTTCCTTTAGCTAAAGCTAAGTGCCTGGCACAATTATTTGAAGCTACTGATCTTAACTTCCAGTTTTTCATGGCTTTTGTGTACGATGGGAATAACACAGTCTTTTAGATTCTTCTGCCCTAGTGATAATCACTAGATTGGCCAGTAGGTTCCTCACGAAACTCAGAAAGGCACCGTGATGTGAAGAGGAGAAAGTGGCTCAATGCGAAGGAGAGTTAGCTATTTGTGAAGGCCTGTGAACCCAGCTGTCTTTGGCCTACTATGGCCTCTAGAGAGCCCTTTGATAACAGAACTGGAGTGTACTCTCTGTGCACTTGGTCCACCAGACAGGGAAAGTGCCCGGAACAGGGGCCTAACAGCCAAATCCTCCTAAGCAGGACTGGTCTTTGCCTAAAACAAGCAGTCACTTGCTCAAAACAATTTGGAGGGTATTTACAAGCTTCCACTGAGTCTCCCAAATCTTTCTTGTGACTGAAATACCACCTTTCAGCCACAAAATAATGTGTTGGGATTTTCTGGTAAGTACTCCCCCTTTCACCTGGTCTCTTTAACAGATGCAAATTTAGGATTTAATTCTGGTTCAGCCATTTCTTAGTGGGATGGCATGTGTCTTGGCTGTCCTGTGCCTGAGTCTCTTCTACCCTAAAGAACAGGCAAGGCTAACAGGGTTACTGTGAGGATTAAAGCAGTTAGTACGCATAGCTTAGAACAGTTGGCGGTGTGCTTGCTGTTACTGTGAAGGCTCCAGTGTTTGAGCATGAGTAAGCACATCAGGCCATGTTGCCCCACATTGGAGAGTGTGGAGCAAAACTCAGCAGAGCATCTGGTAGGAAAGAGGGAGATGAAAGCAGGATAGCTGGAAAATGCTTCGCCATTCTGCTAAGTTTTGCAAACTCTGTGACCCGATCCCAGCAAGCATTTCTCTTCTCAGTGCCTATTCCTGAAACTGAGAATGCTGCTATGGTACATGATTTTGCTCACATTTTCTTTACCCAAAGAATGTCATTCATGTCCCTTCTTAATTCAAACTTCTATTTACAAAACAAAAAATACATGTTTAATTAGTCAAACAAGACCATCTGGAAAGTGTTTGTTCATGCCTTAGTTTATTGTAATGTTCATAATAAATTTATAGAAGAAATGGAATCTGATTTCCGTTATATTTTTAAAAGATGACAGAAGATTCAGTTTTAAAATGCACCACCATAACTCTTTCTGATTCAATTATCTTAAGTGTGCATTATTAAATATATCCCCTTACAATTTTCTGTTATTGCCACTTTACCAAATCAGGTGCAAAAAGTCCTACCTTGATACACAAAGAACAAATGAAATGAAGATAACACTATTAAGTACCATCATTATTAATCTGCATATGTTTGTATAGATCATTGGACATAGGCTCATAAATACACATAGACATTGGGTTTATGTGTTAAATGTGCCAATATAACACATTTTGATGTTACAAAGATAGTGAGTGAGACTTACTGAGGAACCTGACAGAAAGGACTGGAAACATTTCTCTCCTTCATACTTCTTTATTATGATCTACCCACCTAACAACCATGGGAACATTTATAAGTGAAAAAACTTTTTTTCATCTCACTGCTACACATATTTAAAAAAAGCAACACTTCGTAGCCTAGTTAAAAATTCCTTCTGAAAGCCCAGCAAGGAACATTTTGGAATACCAGGTCCTCCAAGTGAATGTTTAATTAGCAGTTTTAATTACGGCTCACATATCTATGTTTATAAATGATGGGTGTGTGTGCACAGGGAAAACCAGCCAATCCTTCTGGCTCTGCATATTGATCCAGGGAACCAATATCTTCCAGACATTCACAGCAGCTATAGCCCACATTGACTTACTTTATCATTTCATGGGAGTGATATGTTAGCCATTTTATCACCACTGTAACACATTTACAGAAAATAACTATAGGAATAACCAGGACCTCTTAGTAGAAGAACAGGACCTGGATATATTGTGTGTCTACTCATCCCCTCCAACTCACAATTTAAAACATTTCTGTAAAGGACATGTCTATCAAATAATTGACCAGAGCTTAGGGAAGCATGTTCATGTTCTTCCTTCAGGTTCTAACCGATTTGGGAATTAGACACAGGAGTCTTGGGGCCTGTATTAGTTTTATTCAAGAAGCAGATCCAAAGTTGGGTTTAGATGTGTGTTACATTTATTTGGGGAAACACTTGTAAGGAAAAATCGGTGGGAGCTGTAGGAGGCTGGGAGTGCTGTTAGACAGGGATATCTGATGCAGGGGAATGCAAGAGGTTCTTGGGGGATGTCAGCGGAAGTGGCTCAAACTGTGTGCTATTCTCAGACCAATTCTCCAGCCCAGGTCACTCCTCAGAAGAGTCTCAAGTGTCACTGGATCAGCCTGCCTTGTGATTCCTGTTGCACTCAGTCACTGGTTACCAACAGCTATGGGAACCGTGACCTCAGTGTAGTGATGGGTGGATTTCAAGGCAGGGCAGCTGGGGCCTTCATTCAGTTACTCTTCCTGCAGTAATCTGATCCAACCTGTGTTGTCATAGCTGCCAAGGTGACCAAATGTTCCTCTCACACCTTCCTCCCAGGGCCAAGTGAATAGGAGGCATGGACAAACAGTCAGCTTGCTTTTGTAGTAATGAGTTGGAGCCACACACAGCAACTCATAGTTGTTTTATAGTCTCTGTTCTTTATGTGTTTAGTGTATGTACAGAAAGGTGTGGATTTGTGGTGTTACATTCTCCAGATTAATCAGTTAAGCAATAATCTGTAGTCAGGCATTTGAGGGCCGCAAGAAAAGGATGGGGTGTAGATCTTGCCTTAAAGCTGCAAAAAAATCTATATCTATCTATCTATCTATCTATCTATCTATCTATCTATCAGCAGTGATAGAAAGCTTAAAATATTTCCTAAAGCAGGAGGCAAAGGCTGTGTCTCTTTCTTTGCTCCTACTATCCAACCCATATTTAGAGACATTTTTCTTATACTTTTCAGTTTGTTCTTCCTTCTTAAACTGCATCCCAAGCAATATATTAAAAATCTCCTGAACCAAGCCATTGTTTTTTTTTCTTTTCAAAGTTTTATTGATAAACATATAGCAATGAGACAGTTTCAAATCAAATCGAAAGTACAGTTTCAACAAATAATACACTGCATACATCCTTCCTAGTGGTTAATTGCTGTACAAGATGCAGACTTGTGATCCTACTTACAAACACCATTAGAAAAAATCATTCTATTCATTAAGAGAATGCAACTATATATCTATCCCAACCACTTTGAATACACAGATACAAAATGGACATTCATAGTTATACCCCAATTTTTTTTAAGTTCCGTTGTTGAATATTATAGGTGTGTAAACTCAGCAAAATATTCTAAAAGAGAGGTCCTGCTTTACCTTGGTCTTAACCATCCAGTAGAAAAGTATGAAGATGAAATAAAAGCCATTGTTTTAAGGCCAGTCATGCTCTAAAGTGCTACAGATTTGTGCTGTCAAGCATCGTTTGATCATATGACACCAAATTAAATTTAGAAACCAAATCATCTAACTGGAGGTAATTTTTATTAGTTACCTGGTGCTACACAATACTCTACCATTTTCTAAGTCACATGGACATTGTTTTCTTCTTCTAACTTTATTGTACCAAACTAGATCTTATTGTAATACTGAGGCTGTCTCAAGAACACAAGAGAAAATCACTCTTCTAAAACTACACTCTAGCATTATTCTTATTTTAATTTTTCCCCGCTGGTTCATATTTATGAGCTTAGAGATCAAATGTCCTTTTTGGTGAGTTTAATTTCTTCTCCTTTTGCTTCAGGGAGTGCCTCCTACCTCAGATGAGGAGAAGAAGCCAATTCCAGGAGCAAAGAAACTTCCAGGACCGGCAGTCAACCTTTCGGAGATTCAGAATATTAAAAGTGAACTGAAATATGTCCCCAAAGCTGAACAGTAGTTGAAAAAAATAGGTGAGTGAGAAGCTTGTTTCTGTATTTAAAAAAAAAACCACAAAAAAATGGTTTGAAGACACCTTACAGCGAAGGAATTTGGAATTCCAGGAGCATTTAAGGGCCTTTGCTTTAAACTGGGATTTCTAGTCCAAAGTTTTCTAGTAAACCCAAGTTTTGGGGCTTATTCCATAACTAGCTAGAAATCCACTGAGGGTGCTTTCCTCCCATTCTCATTCTGATCAGCCTTCTTCATTAGGGGAGGATGAGATGGGGGAGGAAAGCTGCTGGGGAAAAAGCTTTGAGGAGCTTCTGACTGTTTGGCCAGGGAGCCCTCTCTCATCGTATGCTTCCAATTCCTTGCTCATATACCACAAAGAGCAATGAAAGCTTTCTTTAGTTGGAGGATCAGAGGAATAAGGAGCTGAACAGGTTTAGTGTGATAGGGCAGACACCAGGAATTCAGACCTTGAAAAAAAAGCAACCCAAGTATGTGTGCAGCATGCTGAGAGGACCTCCTAATAATGCTGGTATGAATGATAAAGAGCTGCTCCACACAGGGCTTGGGAGCCTATTGGAATTTTTTATTTTTATTTATTTATTATTTATTTATTTTTAATTAATTTTATTGAGGAAAAAATAGCAATGAGACAGTTTCAAAACAGGTTAGTAGGACAGTTACAATAATTAATACATTGCATGCTGTTGTCTTCATACTAGTTATTCAAAGTGCAAGATGCAGACATGATCTCTTGTCTAAATATTAATACAAATCTTTCTTCTCATTGAACTAAGAGAAAGTAGCTATATATCTATCCTGATTATCTTGTATATGCATATATTTTTTTACTACAAAATGGTCCTTCATTTATATCCCCCTTTTTTGTTTTGTTTTGTCAGAGATGGGTGTTCCATTGCTGTTAGAGAAGCTGTAATTTTAATTGATCTGTTCAATTGTGGACTCCTGGTGAGGGCTCAGCCCACTCTCTACCTCCAAAATTGGTTTCCATTAATCCAGGTAGAAATTCTGTCACCAGGATGAGTGTGGCATTGGCCCAAGCCATGAATTTTTCTCCTCCAAGGCCTTGGGAACAAATCTACCCTTTATCTAACCTTAGGAAACTCCATTTTGCATGCTCCCCCATATTTCTGAAGCAGATATGTGGAGGAGAAGACTCTACACTACGAACACAAAACAGACTTTTATCTGGTTGGTTGTTCATCCATTCATTCATTTGTCCACTTACTCATTTATTCAAATAATACTTATTATCCATGCTGATACTAGAAACACTAATCACTTATACCATATGCCAGATACTATGTGCGAGCTATGTACCAACGGCTTCCTGTAAGCTTCAGGATACTCAACTAATGTCTTTACTCTTTTTCTTTTTGGTACCGGGGATTGAACTCAGGACCCTGCACTTACCAGACAAGCACTTAATCTACTGAGCTATTTCCCACCTCTATTGTCTTTATTCTTGAGATGACTTTTGAAAGCCTATTTCTTTTTATCTATCATGCATCCTAAAATGGGGGTATGATTTCAAACTTAGTACTGTCTCCTATTTGTTATACTTCCTCCCATCACACCTTACAGATGAATTATACACTCTTTGTTCATGTTGGGTAAAATCTTCTGAGCATATGGAGGGCAAAAGAAAGTAGGCAGATAAGAACCTGTTGTGTCTTTTCCTGTTAGCAGAATGAAGAACAGAATGTTCTGTGTGACAGTGCAGTGCTTTATGGCCATGTTATTTGTGTCATGCTATATGGACTTACTAGGACATTTGCAAGTTAGCTCTGCAGAAAAGTTTTCTTCATAGTCTAGAAGAAGGAGCCATTTTGAGTTACAGTGCAGTATCCAGTATTTTTATTTTTTAGCAGAGTTCCAAAAAAAAAAAAAGAAAGAAAAAGACACAGTGTATTACATCAACACATCTCTGGTACTGGAATATGGATTAAAATCTGATATGTGGCTATATGCTATTATTATTATTATTATTATTATTATTATTATTATTATTATTATACCAGGAATCAAACTCAAGACTTTGTAATTGCCAGGCAGGTGCTGTGATGCTAACCTATGTTCTCAGTCCTGCACTTGTTATTATTTATGAGCGAATGAGACAAACTGATGATTGATGCTCTGTCCTGCTTCTGTTGCCAGAGTGAAAGGAAATATGCCAGTACATTTGGGATGAAGCTGCAGAACTTCCTTGTGAAAAATCCCAGAGGAGGATGACTAATGTTTTGTGATATTTATCATTACCTAAGAAAGGCAATTTAGTTAGACACATGAATTTTTAATGCAAACTTTAAAGAATTTTACTTTTATGAAATCCATGTTGACCTAAATTTAACCCCAGTCCCAGTTTCAGAAGACTCTGGTTTTGAAGACCCAGAGGGATGCTGTTTTAAAATGAGCTCAGAGAGGATCTTGCAGTGTTCCTTGGCATCAGGTTTGATTCAGTAGCCTCAAATGTTTGGTTACAGGGAAGAAGGAACAAAACCAATTCCATAAAATATTGAAAAAGTACCAGAGTACCCAGAATGAATTTTTGTTACCTTCATTTTCTCAGAGAAGACTTTAATGATTCTTCTCTCTTGAACAAATTCTAACATGAAGCCACTCACTGAGGCTATTTATCTTTATTCTTGCAGGAGTGTGAAAATGTAAGTTGTCAGAGTAATTGATCTGAATTCCAAATGAGTACAGTTATTGTTTGAAGCCAACAAATGAGCTTTCACTTGTGGAGAGGTAGTAAGCAGGGTTGCTTTAAAAGCATCTTTTCCTGCAGAGTTGAAATTTTGAGACTTCCTTGGTCATGGTCTGTGACCACAGAGGGAGAACAATTTTTACCATCAACTGATGTAGTGAACTCATTAGTAACAAATCCGCTGGGCCACTCACCACTTAGTCACTTACTCGTTGCATTGATTCCTTCTTCTTGGGCTACCATTTTGTTGTTGCTCACCATCACCCTATTTTTTGTCTAATTATCTGATCAAACAGATGACTAGTTTGAAGATTTCGTGACTGAGCACGTTAGGTCCTTAGTTGTCAAAAACTGAAAATCATGAGACTCAAGGCTCAAAGTCCACATTATAATTTTTTCAGTACTTTAGATGTATAAGACAGAGCAGCTTCTGCTTCCAGGCAAGATCAGTGCCTTTATTGTGTGGGATTTTAGATACATTCCACAACCTGTCTCCTGGCTGGAATTGTTCCTGGAATTTGATTAAAAACATTATAGCACAATAACCAGAATGAAGAATGACTAGTCCATTAAGGATCAGAAATCATGACTTATGGGAAAGAATGTAACGCCTGGTCCAATCAGCAATCAGACCAGACAATGAAAATATAGCACATACTATGAGCAAACCAAAAGACATGGTAATTTCCCATATGAAGCTCCAACTCCAGCTGGAAATGGCATGAGTAGGGAAAAGCAAGGTGCTCAGCCACATAACTCTTGAGACTGAACTGGTTACTATTTAACGTGGCCAAATGGAGACTTAAGAAAATCCAAGATCCAGATGTAGAGGTAGGTCCATCAGCAAGGTCTGAAAACTGGATGCCCTCTGACTCCCTCAGCCCTTCCTGTTCATGGCATTATTAGGATTCTCACATGCCCAACACCAGAAATCACTGTCAGCTTGTTTGCTTATAGTCATAGCAGATACCACATCATAGACACTGGTCTGGGGCACATATGAAACCTCTCAGGTATGGTGTCCTAATAGACTATGTGTTCACTTTCGCTGCCTCTCAACTCTCAGGTCAGTCCACTGGTGCTTAGTAAAGAACCCTTGTGACAAATTCTCATACTTCAGGTATCTTCTTTCTGTACTAAGATATACAGACCATAAACATGGTCCTTTCTCTCAGGATACCTAAATCTTGATAGAAAGGTAAAACATTCCAGTGGTATATAATTTAAGATTAAATAGCAGTTCTGTGTTTCTGACCTGCTAACTAGGCAGTAGAGACACAGTCACTGTTAATACTTGCAAGAGGAGGAACTCATGTTGATTGGAATCAGCGGCAATTTCAAGGCAGTAGGAAGAAAACTGTTCAAATATTAGAATCTCAGGGGTTAGTCTCTGGATATATGGAACCTTTGAGACATCATCAATTGTGCAGCCTGTGAAATCAAACAGTTCCTCTAGGACAGTACTTCATAAACTTTTGGGGTAGAGCAACCTGTCTATACTGTCTCTTCTCTTTTTCCAGGGGTAAAAGAGCTCAATGATAACAAAGAATTGGAAAGAAATAAAATAAATATTAAATGGGTCACAATACATCAATTACAAGAAAAAGAAACAAAGGTAAAGCCTAAGAATAATTGGACAATTACACCAATGGACACCAATATAGCAGCAAGTGAAAGCCCTAGGACTCATATGGCTCCAGAAAGAAATGATCATTGTGAAGTTGCAGGAGTTCTGTCCTCAGTGCTGGGTGTGGGAGCATGCCCATGCATTACAGGACAGGCAGACCTCTTCTGTCTAGGTAAAGAGTAAACCAAGGTCTCAGAGAAATACAAAGCACATTGGTGGCTTGTTATTTTTGACATACAATAATTGTACACACTTATTCGGCACAGTGTGATAATTTGTCACACACACACAATGTGGGATGATCAAGTCAGGGTAATTAATATGTTCTAATCCCTAAACTTCATCATTTCATTGAGTTGTGAAGCTTAAAATTCCTAATTCTTTATAAAATATGTAACATACTGCCATGTACTATAAACATGGATGCTCCAGGAGACCAAACTTATTCCCATGAAGCCATACTGTGACATCTGTTATCCAACCTCCCTCTCCTCCCCACCCCATCATAGTCTTTGCTGATTACCATTATACTCTGTGTTTCTATGAAAACACCTGTGTTTTGATTTTCACATATTAACTGAGATAATGAAATAGTAGTCTCTCTGTGCCTGATTCATTTCACTTAACACCAAATCCTTTAGCTCCATACACATTGTCACAAATGACATGATTTCATTTCTTTATGGCTGAATAATATTCCACTGTGTTTATATACCACATTTTCTTTTAAAAATTATTTATTTGTTTATTTGATACAAGGTCTCACCATACAGTTCAGATTCATAGCGATCCTCCTGTTTCAGTCTCCCCAGTGCTGGGATTAGAGGCATCTACCATCACACCAGGTTTTGGGGTGGCGTGGCATGCAGTACTGGGGATTGAACTCAGGTTCCTGAGCTTGCCAGGCAGATGCTTGGGCTGCCAAGCTGTCTCCCCAGCCCCTATGCTACATTTTCTTTAGCTATTCACATATCAGCAGATACTTTGATTATTACAAAAAACATAATTTTAAGTGATTATTAGTAATTCACTTAATAGCTTTTGGTTATATATAAAAGTGAAAGCCTGTGGAATAAATCTCCATTTCCCATTAAGAGCTGAGGAAAGAACTTGCATTTTTGCCATCAGCAAGTCTTTTGAGGTCAACCAGTGAGGATTGGACCATACTTTGAGACACTGCTGTAGGATAATAAGTGAGAGTAAATTGAAATGGTATGCTACTCCCTTATACCCAGACATGGCTCTGTAATCTCACTTTAGTCTGTGTCCTATATTCAATATTGCCTAGCCAGCCTCGATTCTGAATCTGATACATGTGAAAAGAATTAATCACACTTGTTGGGAATGGGTGACTTTGTTTTAGCATGATTTGACTTTTCTAACAAAACAATGTAGGTTAGGTGGTAAAACAACAAACACTTGTTTCCTACAGTTCTAAAGGCTGAAAGTCCACAATGAGGGCACCAGCATGGTGAGGTTCTGGTGAGGGCCCCTATCCTGGCTTTCAGACAGCTGTCTTCTGCATTCTCACATGGCAGAAGTAGGATGCTCTGGTATCTCTTCCTGTTCCTTTTCCCCCCATAGGAGCCCTGACTTCATGACCTCATCAAAATGTAATTACTTCCCAAAGTCTCCACCACTTAATACCTTCATATTAGGAGTTAAGGCTGTAATACATGGGCTAGCACAAGTATTCTCTGTCTACAACAGAGAACTTCTTCCAACACTCAGCCTTACACTTCTAGCATCTTCTACTTATGCCATCACAATACTTACCATATTTTAACACACCGCTTTTCTTGTTTGTATCTTTTTGATGCCATGGCACCTTAAATACTACAATGTACCTGATGCATATTAAGCATACATAGCACATCTGCAAGATGTTCGTAGCACCTTGGACACAGAAATTTTGGTGTCTCCTAGAAGTACGTATGTTTCAAGTCCTTCTATAAGAACAGAAGGGAAATTACTATGTAAAAGCAAGACTATCTTCTTTTGCAAGAACCTCAGATAACATTGCTACCATAACCAGTAAGGCTTAAACATTTGACTTTATCTCATTGATTATAATTTTATGTTTCCCTCTGCAACTGAAAAACTAGGAAAAATGTCATATTTGGTTCATATGCCCAAGAGAGAAAAAATATATATAACACCAGAAGAAAATTTAATTTTCAAAAAATTTCATGACTTTATTTTTCAAATAACATTTATGGCCGGATAAGACATTTTCAAACCAATCATCCAGAGGGATGTCATCTCTGGTGGAGGAGAACAGAAGGTACTCATTACTGCTAAATGTTAAATATTATGCATCACTGTCATTCTTGCTGATTCAGGGGCTGATTTTGAGAGTGTTGGCATGAGGGCAGATTGATGTACCCAGATACGTGATAATCAAGAAGTGCATTTAGCCCTGAACAAAAGACCCCTAAAGCACTTGAAACAAAAAACTGACAGAACCAAAGGGAGAAATGAACAACTTCATCATAATAATTGAGGATTTTAATATTCCATCAGTAATGGTAAGACCAAGTAGATAAAAAAATCAACAAGGAAATAGAAGATCTGAACACTACAAGATAAAAGACATGTACAAAACACTCCCCAAATGACCTAACTGACATATATGGAACATTCTACCGAACAACACAATACATGTTTCTCTCAAATACACAAGGAATATTGTCCAGGACAGACCATATGTTGGGTCGTTAAGCAAGTCTCAAAAAATTCACAAATAATTGAATCATGCAAAGTCTGTTCTCTGATCACAGTGGAGTGAAGAATGAAGTTAGAAGTTGGTAACAGAAAGATGTCTTGGAAATTCACAACTTCTGGAACTTAAACATCAGAGTCCTAAATGACGCAATGAAAAGATCACAAGGGAAATTAGAAAATACTTTGAGACTAATGAAAACAAGAATACACCATGCTGAAATTTATGGGATGCAACGAAAGTAGTGCTTAGAGTGCCTGGTCATAAATGCTTATATTACAAAAGAAGAAATTCTTAAATCAGTAACCAACAAATCAATATTAGCAAGTTCATATTTGGAAAATACGAATTTTATCACCTTACAGTGAATTTACAACTAAATTTATTTGTGAATGGAAATAGCATCCCTTTGAAGTGGTAAGGCCATTTGTGACTGGGTAAGATATATTTACATATAATCATAACAATATAACAAAACTAGGAAATAAAAAATAATTGCTCAGAAGATCACAGCATAATAGTCACTTTGATATCACTTTTAGTTTTTTTTTAAAAACTGTCTCTCTATGTAGTTCAGGCTGGCTGTGAACTCATTATGTAGCCCAGACTGTTCTCAAACTCACAGCGATCCTCCTGCCTCTGCCTCCCCAGTGCTGGGATTACAGCTGTGCACTACCACCGGATCCCTTTATTCTTTTCCTGTGTTCACATATGAGATCAAATACAGCAGAGTTGCTAAAAATATGATGATTTGGGGTCGTAAATTAGAATTGGTCTCACTTTATAGAACCTTTTCAATTTTGAGATCTATGTGTTTACTTTTCATTTCATAAAAGTAGAAAATGACATGTTCTTCAAAGAATAGTTGTCGAGGACTTTATAGATTCCTCTGGAAAAAAAAAAACAAATGGTTATCTTTGTACAACACCTGAGATGGATAATAACTCAGTGAATGAGAACTGGTTCTCTTTATACTCTTTTTTTGTGGCCTTATTCATACCACGTGTACATTTTGTATCTTGCCTTTCCCACTATACGCTTTATCATAGGAATATTTTTTCACATTGCTTTACAGACTTCAGAATTGAGATGAATTATTTCTCATAGTCATTGAATTATCATGATTTCATAACCTTTCCCTCTGCCAGAATACAGAGGACTGATTTATTGATTTACATAGAACTAAACTTAAAAATAAAAACAAAAAGCTTCTCCAAATGTCTTCTCTGTGGTTTGCTGGAATTTTTTTCTGTCCTCAATTTTGACATGCTTCCTGCTTTGACCCAATTATGCAAGCTCTATTAAAGCTCTCTTCACTTTCTCCAAAGGATGTGGTTTCGGGTTTAGATTTTTCACTCTCTAGTGAAGTCACATTGTCTTTGATTTGTGATGCTCTTTTTTTCCTGCTCTTTTTTTTCCTTTTTTCTCACTTGGTTAGGAGAAAGGTGAGATCTGCAATGGCTGTGAACTGCATCAAGGTTTCATTGGTTTCCTTCCCTGCACAGCTATTGTTCTATATCCTGGTTGCTGTCTGTGCATGTAGAGGACTCTTGAGGGAGATTGCAAGGAACTGTTGAGTTCATTTGGGATATTGCTTTAAAGGTTTCTCCTCAGCAAATGCACAGAAGCTACCTGAATGACTTCTGTTAACACAGAGCCCTGGACAATATGGGGTATGAACTCTCAAGAAGGAGTTGGGGTTGATGAAAGCTTTTAGGAGTAAATCTGAGGCTAGAGAAGTCCATCTCTTCCAGTTAGTTTGGTGGAAGCACAGTGGACGGAGGACTGATTCTGCACGTCTTTATATACTGGCATGTTCATTTCCTTGGGTCAAAGGACAGGACTGGTACATGTTCTTTTTCAAGATAATGAGATGTATTTCTCTATTTGGTGGTTCTCAACCTAGCTTGTAGGCATGGATTCTGCCCCTTACAGGACATTTGGTAATCCCTGGAGGTAGTTTAAGTTTTCGCACCTGGGATAAGGGGTGGATTCTTACTGTCATCTACTTGGAGAGAGGCCAAGAAGACTATTAGGCAGTGTACAATGCCAAGGACAGCTCCCTATGACAAAGAATGATAATGTCTCTACTGCCTGTAGTTCTGGCAATGAGTTACCTTGGTGTATCTGCTTGAAAAGCCAATGTCAGGCAGGTCTGACTTGTTGCAAACTTTCCAAGTAACTAATGCTGTATATTTTATAGAAATTAAGTCCTTAATGAAAAAGAATACAGTAATTGCCTATCCAGTATTTATACTCTCATGTATGCTAAGCAAATGTTCCATCACTGAATTACAATCCTAACACCCCCCCTCTTTTTTTGGTGGAACCAGGGATTGAACTCAGACCCTTGAACTTGCGAGGGAAGCACTTATTCTACTGAGCCATCTCCCTGGCCCCAACACCCCCCTTTTTGAGATAGGGATTCATTCAGTTGCTCAGGATAGCCCCTTGAACTGGCTATCCTGCTTTAGTCTCCCAAATGCCTGGGATTACTGCTGTGCCTCAAAATATCAGCTAGAAATAAGGAACCCATAAATGAAATTGTTTTATCAATTGGCGAATAGAACACATCTATTATATGTAGTGTATATAAAATATTCCTGAGTTATGGTATTAGGCCTCAAGCCCAACTACTTTTTTGTAGGATATGATTTCTTCTCAACTATATCAGAAAGCAGTAGTTTATCCCAGAAGTTAGCCAATTTTTTAAAAAATATTACTATTTTTTTTTTTTACAGAACCGGGGATTGAACTCAGGCCCTTGCGTTTGCCAGGGAAGCACTTGTTCTACTGAGCCATCTCCCTGGCCCCTAAAAATATTATTATTATTAAACATTATTGATCATCAGCACCAATACCAGCATCATCACTTTTACTGTCATGGTTACAACCATTTGTTACATTCTTGTGAAAAGCCTTATACTCCATGCTATGATTCATTTATATTATT